GTGCTGGTGAACATCAGCTGGCGGAACAGACGGTGTACGGTGCTGGTGAACATCAGCCTGACAGAACAGTGTACAGTGCTGGTGAACATCAGCTAGCAGAACAGACAGTGCACGGTGCTGGTGAACATCAGCTGGCGGAACAGACGGTGTACGGTGCTGGTTAACGCCAACACTTCGGTGGGCAGGGGCCTAAGAACGCTCCAGAAAGAAGGGATGTCACACCGTACTTCCAGGTAAATATTGACATGAAGTGTCAATGCTAAGCTTTCAGAACATTGAGCCGGGGAGAGGGGAGAGGGGTGGGGGAGGGTGGGAAGCATGGGGTTCCTAGTCATCAGCCCGGCTCCTTTGCGCCTGCGTTGCTGGGATGTCAAACAGCGCAGGGAAACGGGAGAACCCGACAACAAAGCGGTGCGGTGCACAGGCGATCGGAACGGCGCTGAACAGCGCCTGCCTCATCGTGTGTCGTGGCGTCGCCTGATACTGTTCAGTCCGGTAATCGACTCGGATGGTGGCAATTACGCAGAATGTGCGTCGGGATTTACGTCATCCAGTGCCATTAGAACCTTGATAAATAGTCTGAGACGGCGGTGATGGTATGGAGCGGTGTACCGGACATGGGATCGTGCTGGGGGTCATTACAGTGCCGGGCAGCGCTGTGACCTGGGGTCGGCGTTGGGTCAGGAACAGCGCCGGGACACGGGATGGCCAAGGCTGTTTGGGCCGATTCTGGAACAGGATGTTTGGACATGAAACAGCGCAGACAGCGAGGAATGTTCAGTCACGAGGCAAGTACCTCCGCACCGGGTAGCAGAACCGGCACGAAACAGCGTAGGACGCACGGGATCACAGGTGCACAGGACAGCACAGGGGCAACGGAGAGCGCAGGACACTGGGCAGTGGGCTGACGGAGTGCAGCGTGGCATGGACGCGGTGATCACGTGCAACGTGCAGGTAGTCACATGAGCCATATCGCAGAAACAGTGGGCGACTGTAGCTGTTAAGCGGCGTAACTGGCGGAATAATTACACGCCTGAATGTACATGCGATTGATATAGATCATGTGCATTGAGCTAAAAAAAGAAGTGTGGAATCTTAAAAGTCATGTTTTGTCGTAGGCCGGCACTGATGTTGCGACGTTGCAAGCCGACAGCATGTGAAGTTTTCACCGCCAAGTTCTGCCGTAAAACTGGAATTACGCGATCGAATGGTAGGGCTCAGTTCTTACACAACAGTCACTGCTCAGCGTGAGCTCTGATCTTAGGAATCCATCCATTCAAAAAGGTTCAGTTCAAAGGATGCAATTTAAAAAAGGTATCCCTGCCTTCACAATGTAACCCAGTGACCATCACTCATTTAAAAGTCACCAAAACATGCAGCATAGTGGAGACACCCTGCGCCCACGTCGCTGACTACTTGCACATTCTTATTCTCTGTATCACTCGGATCGTAATTTGTCTATTGTGATACTCCATGACCTCAGCGTATGAAGTGATGCCCTGCAGCACGGCGGTACAATCTGGGAACATCCTGTCGCGTTCCCCATCGTCTCTGACAAGAAGCGCTCGCTGGGTGGGGCTTCTGCGTTGCCTCACCAGAAAAGACATTTATTTTTCCTGCTGCCGCCTTTATTGGCCGATAATGTCACCGGGATAAATCCCCGGAGAAATCTGAGTTTAATTTAGTTGTCGTCTGGCGCGGCGAGCTCCCATCTCCGGATCACCCCTTCTCAGCGGCGGACGTCTGAAGCGGGGTGTCACCGGAGCGGCAGGCGCGGCGACGGCCCGGAGCAGACCCCCGGGGCGACGGGCGGCGACGCCGCCGAAGACGGGGAGACACGCGCCGATCCGAAGAGGGCTGACCCTGCATACGAGAGGGCCGATCTCGGGCGGCCGACGCCGGTCACGCAGCCCAAACTGGCGAGTCGGCCTACGGAAAGCCCCCTTATGGTCGCCACAGTGTGGCTGCGGCGTCCGCTGGGACCATATCTATACGCCAGTCTCTTGGAAAGTGAATTGTGCAAGTCGCATTGTTAATCACACCGCGTGCGGATAGTACAAAAGTATACCGCACAGTGCGTTGCGTGCAGATACTGGTAGTTCGTTATATCCACTGAAGTGTGACGCTGGCACTCATTTACCGAGCACGGCCTGATGACTGTGCGTATCACGCATAGTCATCAAGGCTTGCTAATATATTAACGTCAATTTATCACCAAATTAGATGCCTTGAGCCCCGCTGTTCATATCGTCAGTAGTCCTAGGCCAGTCACCCCCCGAGCTTAAGGCGTGTTCCGTCCGCAGGCGTACAAATGCCCGGTCAAATACCGCCTGCGCCCGAATAGCTCCAGCCGGTCGTCCCATAAATTTGCATCGCGAAGCGGTTTCAATTTTCCGTCGGCGCACAACGACCGCGGCCGGCGCGAGGCCATTTAGTAGCCTCGCGTCGAGCGGCCGGCGGCGCGGCTGCCCGGGAGCCGGAGCGGGAGCCGGAGCCGGCGACTGGGCTCCGTCCTGACGGGCGCCGCCGCAGCCGCCGCGGCGAACTGCGCCGCCAGCCGGCTGAAAAACGTTTGGCTGCGCTGTGATGGATGCTGGACGGAGCTCTCCCCGGAGCGGCGCGGGCCGCGGCGGCGGCGCACCGGCACGAAATGCCGACTTCTGACAGCCGGCTAATGCGGCTTTCGACGCGCGGCTGGCAGCGGCCCAGCGCCGGCAGTTACCTCTTCCATTGATCTACGCCCACGGGCCGCACGGCAGGCGAATAGGGAAGTGAGATTCTGTCGCGCCGAGAGCCCACGAACACGTTTTGAATGGCAACGGCCATTCGGCAGGCGGCGCGCATCCCGATGTCGCCGAAGCCTGGGCGGTTACATATGTCTCTTGTACATAGAGAACAGTGTCTGAGAATTTCAGCATCTGAAACTCGGTCCAACGGCCGTCCAATGCAGCGTTCGGTACCGGAAAGGCTGTCACGGGACGACAAACCATCCATGACACCCATCCGAGAACAGGTTTCTCGAAGTATTTCTCGAAGTACAGGTCCTTTTGCTGTATTGTTGGTACGGTCAAAAGCGCTGTCAGCGGCAGAACACCACAGATGCGTTGTTAGTTGTGTGGCGAACGCGTCGTTCTGCAGGGAAACGACGTCGCCTGGCAGCAGGCGGCCGGGCCGACGATGCACAGATGCTTCTGACAGCGGGACATCGATTCTGGCAGCAGACCGCAGTGCCTGGCACGCTCGGTACAGTCGGACGACGAGTTATCCGCTGGCCCATGTCAGGCACTGTTGACAATGTCGCTGTCCAGGGGTGCTACATGTCGGCGACGTCCGGCTCATATGTCCGCCGCTGCTTTCCGGCACAAGCCAGAGCTCTTTACCTGAACTGTCCGGCTGCCGCTGTCCAGCCGCGCTGTCCGGCAGCTGCGGACCGGTCGCTGCTGTTCAGCCACGCTATCCGGCCGTAGCTGTGCGGCCGCTGCTGTCCGGCCGCACTGTCAGGCCGCGCTGTCCGGCCACGCTTTCTGGCCGTGCTATCCTGCCGCTGCTGTCCGGCCGCTGCTGTCTGGCCACCGCTGCTCAGCCGCGCTGTCCGGCCGTAGCTGTGCGGCCGCTGCTGTCCGGCCCGCACTGTCAGGCCGCGCTGTCCGGCCACGCTGTCCGGCCGCTGCTGTCTGGCCACTGCTGTCCGGCCGCCGCTATCCGGCCATCCCTGCCCGGCCGCCGCTGTCCGGCCGCCCCTGTCCGGACGCCCCTGTCCGGCCGCCGATGTCCGGCCGCGCTGCACGCTGTTGCCGTCTGGCTTCAGCGCACGAGCTGGCATGCGAGCCGCCCGACCGCCATCCGTCAATTTCAGGAGGCCCTCGGGACCGATCTGTTGACGCTGTCGAACGGTGCCCCCACCCCACCCCGGCCCCGGACCGCACCGCAGGCGGGCGGGGCGGCGCTGCATTCGACGGCGCACGCCAGGCGGGCCGCACGCACCGCGGCCCCCGACAGGTAGCGGTGTGACTGGCGAACGCCCCGCCGGCCCCGGCAGCCGCGGTCACGCACGAGCCGCTGCTGCTGAGTTAGCGCGGCTGGCTTTGGTCTTTGGCAAGTTCTTGTTTCCAGTTGTACACAATGGATCAATTGGTTTCAGCAGTAGGTAAACATATTTCGGTGGGATTTACGGAGTGGGCTATATCGTGGTGGAAAAACGGTTCCGGCGGCAGTGCATTAGAACTCTTCGGCTTTGGCTACAAATCCTGGCTTTTTCGAGGCGCCGAACCAGGTAATTGAATTCCAGCCCAATTCCCTCTGCTCGTAAATACCGCTGATCGTCGATAGTGGAGATTGCACGAAACTGTACCACTCGCTTTGGTGGTTCATCGATGGTTGGGAGCGTTTGGCTGAGCCGTTCTGGTGGTCAACAGGCGTAACAGGGACCTACCCTGCAGAACCCCTGCACTCCGCAGTTATGGCATGATGCACTATGAAATTAAATAATTCTCATATCACCCGGGTAGCCAACATATATAAAAAGCTCATGAAAGACGAAACATTAAGACGCGGCCATCATCTGGCGTAGCAAGGATGGCTTTGGGATGGAGAGCTCTGAGTCTGCGACAGCTGATGCTGAGCGCCGGCCTCCGGTCGGAGTGGTCAGCGCCGCGTCGGCGTCGGTCATGACCCCTCACCTGGCCACACCGCCCGCTACACATGCTGCCATCGACCGGTGCCGGCGGCGCGCGCCGCCACCGCCGCCGCCGCCGGCACCAGTCGAGCGTCGGCCCCGACGAGCGGAGGAGAGGCCGGCCGCCGACGCCGTCGACCCGCGTCCGTCCTCGCCGTCTGCGACCGGCTCGCTGTCGCGGCGAACGCGGGTCAGCGGCACCGCCGCGGCTCCGGCAGGGCCAGGGCAGGCGGCGACCGCCGGCGGCACCGGTGCCGCGCCGGCCGGCCGCGGGCAGGAGAGCCGCGCGGAGAGGCCCGGCGCCGAGCGACCCAGCCCGGGCTGACCTGGAGCGGGCCCCGCGACGCGACCGCGGCCGACGGCAGGGTCAAGGCCCACTGCGGCGGACGCTCGGAACAGTCGCCGGTATCGATTCAACAGCGCGCGGCCGGCGGAGAACAGACCGCGTGGCCAGGCGGCCGGGAGTTCCGACTCCGACTGCTGGGGGCGGCAGGGCGGACTCGCCGGGCCGCTGAATGGTGACCGACTTCAGCAGGCAGCAATCTCCTGGTGGCTCACACGAGGTAGGTGAACCTGAAAATTGGAGACGTCTTTTCATTTAATAATTTCGAAGAGTTAGCTCTGGGAGTCTCCCGGAATGCAAACACAGCCCGCGTTCGGACGAGCACGCTGATAGGACAAGATTGTGTACGTTGCGGCCACCTGCTAGAAGAGTCGGTCATCATTTACACAAAGCTGCTTTGTTTCTGACTGACACTGCAGCACCTAAAGGGTGATGCACCTATAAATAGAGCTAAACGGCGAAACACAAGGCTGAGAGACAGCAGATTTATTTTAGGGATAGTTGACACTAGCTAACTGCTGACAGCTGGCACCGCAACGGTGATATATGCACTAGATTGGTATTAAGTGGCATGGTTGGCGGATGGATGACATCATACTTCCGATAAAAGAGACCAACAAGAGTGAGGCACGCTTTGCGTGGGTCACAAAACGTGAGAGGCACTGAGTTTGTTATCCTAAGCACGGTGTTTCCATTGGCTAACTAGTACATGTGCTTACCATCTACCACACGATTTCAAAAATTCGTTTGTACGAGTTTTGACGTGGGTTAGGTTTGAATGATACTTGGTTACAACCAACAAACTCCACATTAAGATTTGTGTTTTTTTCAGAAATGTGCTATCTACCTTTCCGTGCCTTTGCTCCTCGCATCACTCGACTAGTCAATAAGTGTTGACGTCATGATAGGCTACATCTGCATCGATGTGCAGATCTAGGGAACGCTATGTAATTTGTAGTTGTCCGTGTTCTTTCGGTGTGTTAAGTATGTCAGAGTTCCCGAGTTTCATCAAACTCAACAAACGTTTCTCCTGAACCTTATGCATGAATGTTCTCGAACTCAGAGTAATTCTGCACAAGCGCCAGCCAACTCACCTCATATGTTTTGCGTGCAGCGTACCAGACATGTGTTTAGATCCCATATATGACTCCCGGGATTGAATTCCTGAGTTCCGGAACCGGCGTGTTCTATTTTTTTGCAACTTTGCCCACTGGTCTTAAGGAATCATGATCTTTTTAAAATTTTGTGAGAAATATCCGTTGAAACTTAGGACATAGTTCGAATCCTATCGGGAGACCATTTATGTTCCAGAAAGTAATTCACATGCTGTTTTGCGGCCTTTCAGGTCCCTCATAAACTAGTTAACAGCTTTTCAATTAGATACAGGTCAGGTCTAGGTAGAATAAAATGTCTAACATTGAGACTTGGCCGCAAAGTTAAGTCACAACAGGCTACCGAAATTTTTGCCCATACGAAACAACTGCTTACTTCATCTGTCACTCACTTCAGTCGTACGTTACACTCATAAGTCAGGTCCACGACTAATAAGTTCACTGAAACACTAAAAATATCCCGTTCTGTAATTACGGGGGGTTAAAAAAGGCTCCAAGAAAAGCTCCTCGCCCGCTGCCTGCTTCAACTGGAAACCGTTAACAGATGGTGAGCCCAAAATAAACAGAACAGTGCTGTTGCGAAACAGGTGGTGGAGTTATTTAACAAAACAGTCGCATCTTGTAAGTTCTCTTGTTTTATTATTTTTCGGGCTTCCCCCAGCACATCCAAGAAGGAAATTGCTAGAAAAAGGCTCAGTCTGAAAAAGCCCGTTTTATTAGATATTCCTGTGCGTGTAGCCCGACGAAACTATCCACCAGCAGGTGTACCCTGTTGATGAATTTCAAGTTCGACCACCCCATCACTGTCTTCGAGAACGAAGCCAATTCATCCACTTGGTCTCGTTCTTTACAATGAGTGATGAACATTGACGGAGGGGCAATGTTCTCAAGAAATATGCCTTCGTAGATCAGGCATAATTTAGCTGTTTGGTCTCGCATGTATTTACATTATCATGCAACATGGCATAGTGCGCACACGTTACTGACAAACGAACCCACATCAACGCGCATCACCGAAACAGTATGGCACCAAATCGCGAGGTTTCGTCGTGCGACGTCAGCCAAATAGTGTCGCGTCATCAGGCGGTCTGGTGACGGCGCGCGGCGCCCCCCGGCGGCGGCGGCCGGCGGCGGCGGCGGCGCCGCTCGGCGGCGCACGGCGCCCCCTCGGCGCCGGCGGCGGCGTCCGGCCGGGGGCTTCTGCTCGCAGCAGGCGGCCTGCCGCCTGCCGCCCCCGGCCGGACGTCCCGCAGCGCGCCGGCAGCAGCCGACGCCCGATTACCAGACGGAAGCCAGACCATGTCAGAGTTAGCTGGCTCAGCTGGGCCAAGTCCAACCGGCGCTGTACCTATTGACTTCCAGATGCCGGCGCGCCATCCTCTGGCCGGGCGCGCGTCCGTGACGAGACCCCGACATCGATCGGAGGACATATCCCGCCGGGCGAATGGTCAAACGCGGCTAGCACCGGCTTGAAAGTAATAGTTTCAGGGTGGTTAGAAGCGCCGCGGTACAATTTGTCAGCGCTGTTTGTCCTGCCGCCAGCGAGCTGTTTGGACGCCCGCGCCCAGCGCTATTGGTGGCTCCTATTGCCGGCGCGCGGGCCTGGCAGCGCCGGGCCGCCAGCGGCGTCCCTATATTCCACGGCCATTTTTCATGCGTGCTCCCTCATAAAGAATAACTGGCCGGGGTGGCCCACACATCATCCGGACCGTATTGCCTGCCAGCCGTCTTTACAACCGGCGCACATGTCCTGCATACGGATGGCGGCGACGGCGGCGGCGGCAGCGGCGGCGGCGAAGGCGGCTGTGGCGGCGACGGCGACGGCGGCACGCCGGTGATGGGATGACAGAGATAGGAGACGTACTTGGACACGGGACGGCGCGGGATATGAGCCCAGTGCTGGATCAGGGGCAGATGCAGGGCGGGAGACGGAACGGTGCAAGTCCACCGGTCAGACAGATACGGCGCGCGCGACAGAGCGCGGCGCACTGGCACACAGGACAGCGCAGGGGCAAAACGCATAACCTGTCACACGGAACATGGCTGGAGGACACCTGTCAGCGTCGAGACATGCTACAGCGCTGGTAAGCATCTTGGGCTGAAGAGACTGTTTTCATGTTGCGTGACACAGGGCGGCCAATGTCTTAAGGCTACCCCTTGTAAGGGCTTAATCGTTCGGTGTGTGTGCTCAAAAAAGTGCTTGCCTGGTTGTGTGTTCCGTTCTGTCTGAATGCATGTGTATCGTCGCTACGCATCTGCCCGGTGCAACGACGTGTAATGTGACTGTTGGAATGTCGAAGTGGCCTTCACTGGGTGGATTGGAGCGCACTGATGACGTGCTCGGCTCTTAATGCGACCTTTATAACCTGGACCTCCCTTTCATTATTGGCAAATGTGAAATCAATGGTGCAGTATTAATTGCAGCGTGAAAAAAGCATCCAAGCAATGCGCATGTTCTGGCATGTCTGAAGTACCTTGTGAATGAACGCACTGGGCTCTGAGTTATATTCCTGGGTCTAGCAGGTTTGAGACTACTCCTTGCAAGCTTGTTGTTACACGCTGGCCATCCGGGTGGAATATTGCCAGGCCAGCAATATATCTGTCATTCTTTCCTCCAAATATTTGCTGTTTTTTATAGCTTCACGATGGAAGGAACGATTGCGTCCCCGAAATAAATCCCCCGATAGGCCGAGTTTATTTACTTGTCATCCTTCCCCCTTTTTCATTATCCTGGGATCAAGCCTTCCGCCTGTCCGCCGACCATCCACAGGGCGTGGCGGCGAGGGGGGGGGGGGGGGTTGTGTCGCAGCAGCTGCGTCGCGGCTCCGCGTGGGGAGCGCTGCCGGGCGCCTGGGTGTATCCAGCACGCGAGACGAGTCGCTGGGTTGGCGGAAGTGGAACTTGTTTGTTAAATCCCTGCCGTTGCGTGCCATGAGCAAGTCGATGCGCAACCTTAAGTTGGAGCAGTTTTTGAAAGGATGACGCAGGCCTGGTGAGGCATTCAAAAAAAAACAGGTATGGTTACCAGCCCGAATAAAGTTTGACCATCAGAACTAAAAGCACATAAATTCTTCGAACGAATAAGAAAGCGAGCACACAATTTAAATCATATTAGAATCATGTTTTTGGCTACTGGCCACAAAAAGAGATGTTATCAACATGACATGCGTTAGCAATTCGAGAGGTGACGATGCTTGGCTTTCGATTCTACGATTAGCATGCATTCAAGTGCACAATTTTCGTCCCAAATCAGGAGGTGCATATGTCGAGCACAGCGCCACAGCGGCCTTGCCATGTAAGTATGAGCATGGACACGAGCAGATCAATGCATCCCGCCCTCTCGAATCAGCAGAACATTCATCAGGAGTTCATGTCGCTCGAAAATAGCTGAGCCGAGCAGCTGTGCCAGTTCCCTGACCTGTCCCGGACATGGCCGTGACAGTGGACCGAAGCTACGACATGCAACGCCAGCCGGACAAGATTGCCTCCGCGGACATAGCGCTGCACTGGCTGTGGGTATCGATCCGGGGTCGCTAGAGCAGGCCCTGCTCTTCAGGGGCTGAGCCGTCACATGTGTCTGTCTGGTAATACCAGCTTGGACGAATCCGCGGCACAACAGCGGCTATTCGCGAGCGCGGGGGAAGAAACGCGCCGGGGGCCCGGGCAGGGATCCTGTCGGATTGCAATTTATGGCTGCACAATGCCATTATCGTAAAACAATCGGTCCTAATAACGACGTCGGTGACAGCATTTTATCTCTGGGCGCGGCGAAGGATGGGACCACTTCAGTATAATACGCATCGCAAATTGTCGAGCGCCGCGGACGTGGCAAGGGCTCCTCCCCCTGTTCCCAGCAAGCTAGGCGGGTTGGGGAGCTGGGGAGTACTCTTGGAGGCGTGGATGGCCCATTCAAGGATGACGGATGCTTGAGTGAAGCAGAGCCACTATCAATCCATATGACCATTGGGGCTGCCAAGGTCACGTGCTTGAGATCTTTCCTCCTCCCACGCCTTCAAAAGTACACATGCTTCGGAAACTGAAATTGGTGTTGCGTTGGACGGCGAGTCCCTTTATGCCATTTTAGAAGCGGTTAATGCCAGCAACATGT